TAAAAACATACAATATCTAATGTTAGAACATATCATATATGACATAATACAATTATACGAAAACTAAGTATAGTTTACAACATATACAACGAATGTTCCCGCACATAGTGCGGGTGAGAATCTAGTTATGTAGTTATTTTTGAATGTAGGGTGCAATTTCCCTTATTTTTATACACAAGTATTTTCAAAAAAGATAGCCGAGTAATACACAAAGATTTTTACTAAGAGTATCCGGTAATTCTATGTTCTAACTTTTAACGTAAAAAATATATTCTAAAAAACGATTAATTAACTAGTAGTAAAAACTTTACATTTTCGATGCAAACTTCCTGTATAAAACAAAAAAAGAATTGTAACCATGTGTATTTGGCAGTTTGTTTTATTATTGAATGTGGTAAATAATAAATAATATTTAGTTAGAAAAAAATGGAATTTGTGTATAAAGTCTTGAACATCTTTTAAATTAAAACAGGTTTAAGATGTGGAACTCTGTTGGTTCTATATATATTGCGGAGACACAAGAATAGTTTCGATTATAGCCAAGTGGGCAACATGTTGTTTTACTAATTGAGTGTGCAATAACCTTTCTTTCATAACATACGGAACAATCAAGTACGAACACTTGAAGACTTGAGATATGTTGGTTAAGTCCAAAGCTTTCAATCAGATCTTGAAATGAAGCAACACAGAGTTCCCATTAAGTCCTCTAGCCATGTACTGGCTTGTGTACTCAGTGACAGTAGTGTCTCTATACTTGGGAGGGTTTTGTTCAGATAAAAGCTCTTTAATCGGTCGATAAACCCGCAAACTCGGTAAAGGATGCACAAAGAAAGAAGCGACCGATATTCGCGGCTCTTCACCTCTATTAGCCAAAACTCTATGCTCCACACTCACAAACTTGTCATTTGTTATAAGCTATAAAACAAAACGATATCACAAAAATGAGTATGTTATGGTGTTTCGAATATGGTTTAAATGATTAAGTTCACAATATCGACTTGCCTGTAAGAGATCTCCAAGGTTAATGAGAAGAGCTCCAGAAAGAGGAGAAACGTCGACCCAGTAACCATTTTGAAGAACTTGAAGCCCACCAACGTGATCTTGAAGAAGAATAGTGAGAAAAGATCTGTCTGAATGCTGACTTGTGCCGAAAGTTCGATCAGGCTCAGGACAAGGCGGGTAGTAATGAGAGAGCATGAACAAACCTTTTGTGCAATCCATTTCTTTTAAGTGATTAGGATTTAGCCCTAAAGCTTGTGATAAAAGCTCAAAGATTAACTCCCCTAACTTCATCACTCGCTTCGAATACTCCAACATGATTTCCCTATAACAAATTTAACCCATCAATAATATGAAAGCAAAGATGGATCTTTAGATTGACCCAAGACACTAAGTTAGGCTTCTTTCTTTCTTATATAGATTAGAAAATATTCGTACCCACAAATCTCTGGTAAGTCCTCTGCTTTTGGAAGATCAGGGAACATAAAACAACTTAAGGTATCTCTCCAGTTCGCAGATGGAGAGCTATATAGATCAAAATTGCTGTTATACTTAACCTTTTTCGTGTTATCGCGACTATAAAAATTTTTCCTCACTTCTGAATCTTGCTCATGAAACTCACGAACCCCATCTTTCATCTTCTCCAAAAGATCAAGTGGAATCCCATGGTTAATCGCCTGGAAGAATCCGAATTTCTCAACCGCTTCTCTGATCTTTGTGATTACGCACTCTCGAGCAACCATGGAATCGAACAAGCCTCCTCCGAGATCGATAGTAGGAATCATCACTTTCGTGGAGGGGAAGGAAAGAAGTGGATTTGTTGGGTTTAGGGTTATACTGAGATGCGGATGATGGAAAATACGTGGGATTTTTGTGATTCCGGCGTCGACCAGACCCTTCACACCGATATTCGTATCGTCGAAAGCTTTTATCTCACTGGCACGATCGAAAGTCGTCGCCTCCATCTTCTTCGTCTTACTTGTTTCACTTTGTGTATCAAGA